AGTTAAAAAAAAAAAAAAAAAAAAAAAAAAAAAATAAGCCGGACGTTTTTTTTGTAAAGGTAGGAAAACATTTTCGGCAGGATAAAAATGCTACAAGCAGGACGATTGATTTCCCTAAAATAAGCCTTGAAAACTTCAAGAATCGGAATAGCTCTCTATAAGTGACACGTGCAGGCAGTAACAGGTACTTAGTACACGTGTACTATGTGCGTTTGAATCCGTTTGATTCTAAAGGGATGAATTTGACTGTTTTGACGATTACTCTGCTGGGACCGACGACCCTGACGTTTCTCGGAATACACGCATTGCTCTCTCCTTCTGAGAAGCGCTGCTGTCGCTCTACCTAGGCTTTTGGCTAATGAAGTTCCAAGAATCATCGGGAAATCTTCGTCCATCTTCGTCGAAGATAAGTGTGGCTGAAGTGTGATAAGTTGTTGGTGGTCTCTTCAATCCGATTGCCTTTTGGTTTGTGCGAATACTTAGCTCCTGAATTTTCTCGGATTGCCATCTTTCTGAAGTCTCTAATTCCTTGAGTCATTCACCTGTTGATTTTAGCGAACATATTCGTGTGATCGCGCGTAGAATCTTAAACGATTTCAACATGTCAAGCGAGGTGAGTGCTTCTTCAACCTGAATTACTTATATATCACCCACTCTTGTGCAGGTTACCAATTTGTAGTTATTACTCTCTTCCTTTCTTTTCGATTGGAAACCCTAATGTTTGTAACATCTCCTCTCCTCTCCTGCACGTGAACTTTCTTGATAATGCTCCAATTTAGGCGGTCTGAAGCAACATGTGGGCTGCAATGTCTGTATCTTGAAAGGAATGTTGACTTCTACGGACTTTGTTAGAGGAGCAAAGTAAACAAAATGTGAACTTGATTTTGAATAATCATTCCCTCATTTGGATGTCAACAGTGTCAACTGTGAAATTGTGAGTTACTTGATAAAGCTCCAATTTAGGCGGTCTGAAGCAACATGTGGGCTGCCATGTCTGTACTTATTTTGTAAGGAATGTTGACTTCTATGGACTTTGTTAGAGGGGTACTTAAAGTAAACAAATTGTGAACTTATGAGTTTAAATAATCATTCCCACATTTGGATGTCAACTGTGAAATTGTGAGTTACCTTGGTCGATTCATTCATAGTGTATTCAAGTGCCTACTTAGTTTCTCTTTCACAACATGATAGTACTATTTACGGTATGACGCTGGGTCATTTCCCCAAATTTATAGAGACGAGATGAATCATGGCTGATTCCACACAGTCCCAACTCCAAATTCATTTAGACCCTGGAATCTCCACCTGCCTCAGTGTTTATTATTAGTCAGTTAAGTCAGTCAGTTGTTTCTCACGTGTTCATCATGACTGAAGTTATGTCCCTCGAGCCCTCATCACATATGAGCATTTTTCACACTTTTATTTACCCGTACCAAATTACAGTATATGTACCTATCTTTTTGACTCTTACCTTTATGTCTTGCCAATTACAGTCATAATATATTCAGGGATATCGTAGACTGCACATTTGAACTTGACTGTTTATACATGAATAAATTACTATGAACATTCTTTGACCAGGGTCAACTTTGTATGCTGAAAAATTCATTTTTCATTCTCTTGTGCTCTCTAAAATCTAGGTAACCTGAGAAGGAAGAGGGCAAGAGGGCGAAAATGTTGCATATGTGACTAATTCAAAAGAGTACCTAGTATTCTTGATATCATACAGGAAAGGGGACACATGATGCATGTACCTATGCATCACTTAAAATTTTTTAGTCATACTCAATGTGAGATGGATGAGCAGGGGGAGGTAAGTGCCCCTCCCCTCCTCCTCTGTTCGATATTAGATCTTTTTTGGGCGGGAAGGGGGGGGCAGTTTTGCTCAATTCAGGGACATTTTCAAGATTTTTTTAAAGTTGTGCTCTGCACCCCCCCCCCCCCCCTTCACGATTTGGGTGGAATGGAACTCCTAATATATGGTTTGTATGCATGCAGACATATATATAATACAGGTTTGCACTTTTTCTTCCTGACGGACGGAGGGATACTACTCCTGCAAACACGAAAAAAAAAAAAAAAAATCACATGGTGAGAGGACATGAAGGAATAGGTATTTCCTCATCCTATATGCACCCGCCAGTTTTCTGTTTTTTCATATGTTCATTGAACAAACGCTATTTTTCCGTTCATTTAATACGTAACGCTGAAAATCGGGAACCTCCATCCCCTCCTCCTCGTAACGCACCCGCAACGCAGGTGTACACCCTCAAAAACACACGGTTTGACAACTCCCCCCCCCCTCCTTTTATTTCAACAGCTCGTGGTGCAATTCGGATGTAAAACCAACTCGCGTCAATTTTCATATTGGATTTTCGAACGTTCCGCGTTATCACGCGTTACACGCTCATTCTAGCGTTATGTACCGCACCCCTACGAGTCCGAAAATAACTTCCGTGTTTTCCTATCACCCACTATCTTTCTGAGGTAGCCAGGAAAATATTTCGAAAAGCTATCCTTGCTGCTTTGCTAGAGAGATCTGAAGTCTCCCAGACCGGTAGAGTGGCGATGTCGTCACCGTCCGGCTAAAGTACTTAGGTATCACAAGCGCCATGCGACGTTTCAAAATTTCCGCCGTCATTTTATTAATTACAGAAAAATTGTCAGTTAAATCTGTATGAAAATTTCACTGTATTTCATCGGCAGCGCTAAGAATTAAGAAAACTCAGTGAAAGTTTCAGACAGCTTCGTTGAACAATTACTCTGTATGAAAATAAAATGGCGGCGGAAATTTTTAAACGTCACATGGCGCTTGTGATACCTTGGCCAGAAGGTAAACATTTTGCAGTGCTCCCATTTCCCCGTACCAGTTTCGAATTAGGGATAGACGAATATCGAATTCGAATGCGAATATTCGAAACTTTTCGAATGCGATTATCGCGAATATTTGAGAATTCGAATCTTGCGATTGCGAATAGTTCGGATGCGAATATTCGAATATTTTCGATTTTTGATTTCGTATGAACCGTGAGAGATAAAATGACACTTTTGAAACTTTCGAATGGGATTATTCGAATATTCGAATTTGCGATTTCGAATACTTCGTAAGCGAATATTCGAATGTGATGCGATTATCTCGGTGCCGATGATTCGAATATCTAAATATTCGACCATCCCTATTCCGAATTTCGGAACTTTTAAGATTTTCCTGAATTTTCCCCGGAACTTTTGAAATTTCCGAAGTGTTCCGGATCTCTTGCATTTTCCGGAACTTTTGGAAAAATATGAAAAGAATCCCGGAACTTTTGACGGTCATGGAGTGGGAGAAATAATTGGAACAACAAAGTTCCGAATCCCGGAACTTTTGACGGTCGTGGAGTGGGAGAAATTGGAATAACAAAGTTCCGAATCCCGGAACTTTTGACGGACATGGAATGGAGCAGTGATTTTGAGCCGTCGCTTGTGTGGACAAGGCTTATAACGGCCTAACGTAATTTTCAGGAACGTGAGAGTTTGGGTAGGTCTAATGCTTACCGCTTGTGTTCCAATCGGCGTGGCGGTCTCCTCGAAGACATTTCTCGACGTACGTCAGTGGATCACAGTCTGCGTTGAGGACCTCCCGAAGGAGGGCAATGTAGGCAATGGCCAGACGAAGAGTGTCGATCTTGCTCAAGCGTTTCTCGTACGGAAATGTGGGCACGTGACCTCTGAGTTCATCGAACGCCGAGTTGATGCTGCTGAAAATCAAAATCAGTTTTCTCACTCCATCGGTCTAGGTACCAGTTGCAATGAAGAAACAATTTAAAAAGTGGGTAACAAGGCTAAAATTTCACGAATCCAACAGGGTGTTTAGCGTCAGAATTTTTTCCAATTTTCCCGATTCTATCAGGATTTGAGGTCAATCAGGATTCAATCCCGAATTCATCAGAATTTGAGAAAAAATCGGTCGGAAAATCAGGATTTGAGAAAAGTCGGCTGTCCGATCGGATTTTTTTATGCTTTCGTATATGCTTATATTCAGGAATGTTACTTTTTCTCCGCAAAAAATCAGGATTTGGAAAAATTATGAAATCAGGATTTAGCAGTAAAAAAACAGGATGAATCAGGATTTCCCTATATGAAAAAAAAAAAAAAAAACTAGACACCCTGTAAAACCAAAAAGTTTTGACTGAAAACTCAGCCCTCCTCAGTTGGATAAAATAGTAAAAAGATAAATGGTACAAACTTAAAAGCAGCATTCTCGCTTTGAAAGGTACAGCCAGGTACTATTTTAAATTTTTACCATTTCTCTTTTTACTATTTTATCCAACTGAAGAAGGCTTAGTTTTCAGCCGAAACGTTGTGGTTTTATTCGTGACATTTTAGCCTCGTTATCCGCTTTTCAAATTTTTAATTTTTTTTTTCTTTAAATTGTATATCTTATCGCGGGCTGAGGAGCGTCAATCATATCTCAGTTCCAGTTGTTGGTTTTTTCCCCAATTTCTCCTTGTTTTCTTCCTCACTGGAGCTACAGTACCGAATATTTTGCGCTAATCGACGGTGAAGCTGCTGGAACGTGTGTGTCCGTTGCGGCATTTTATAATACCTATTCACCTTCATTTCATCAAAGGAGAACATATCAACGCTATTGCTTGAAATTTCCACGAAATATTCTTCCCGCGGAGAAGAAAAATCAGGGAATCTTTAACGAAAATGGCGTAGAGTATTTTTCCATTTGTAAAATGAAGCCTGACAGCAAGTCTGCAACGTCGCAAACCAAGTTGCGCGTTCCCGCAGTTTCACCATCGAAATGTTCCTCGCAGCAGTGATGGTTAGAAAGAAAAGGAGGAAAATTATTTTAAGCTCTTAAAAGAATATAAAGGGCCGTTTAAGTATTACGTAAGCAACTTGGGGGGAGAGGGTGGTCTGAACTTGTCGCACGGGGCCTTGAGGGGGAGAGGGGGCTAAATTAAGCCTCTCATTTAAAATTAAAGTTAAAATAATTTTCCAGACTCTCTCCATTATTTTCTGAAAAATTTACGTCCGGAGGG